TCTGCCATAGCATTCTTGATTTATCTTGGCTTCCCTAGCTTTCTGAACCTGTTTCTTCTTGGGGTCTATGTCTGTTTGTATCATTTTTATATCCCTGTCTCTTATCCTGAATTGCTACATCATCTTTTCTAGCATAAGCCCAATCTGAAGAGTACTTGGAGGAAAAACAAGCACCTGTTCCCAGGTTTTTAGCTCTTGCACACCAGTAAAGAAATCTGGTCTGGTTAAAGAAAAAGGCTGAAAGTGTGAAGATGGGATATCATATATCTGGGAGCTGCAGTAGTTGCCTCTGTGCTTGCAGTAATGCGTAGGCTAAACAGGTGAAGCCAGCACAACACAGGACAGATACCTGGTGATCTGGAGACCAGAATGATAGGCTGTGCAGTGAGGAGCCAGAGGAACAAACAGGGAGGCCTTGGTAAAACTCACGAAGAAGGAAACTGAGCGTTAAGCTGTGCTTACAGTGGGAAGGGCATCTCACATGCTGTCCTCTTCTTGAAACAGCAGACAAGGAACAATGAAACCTGGCATGGTACTGTAGGAATGACAGAGCCATCATAAAAGGCCGTGTATTTCATCTTCCAAAAGCATCTTGTATCAGCGAGCCGAGCATGTGAGACCAAGTGGGTAGGGTCCCAGAGGCACAGGCACAAGGACTTCTCACTCCCTCTGAGCTCAGAGCCCGGCTGTGTTTGGCACCAGGGCTGTGCCCTAGCAGCAGACTGCAAATGAGGGTCTCCCACTGCCCTGCTGCCCCCTCGGCTGGGTACTCCCTCCTGTGCCCAACCTCACTTCTCTCCTTCTCCAGGTCTTAACCCATGCCAGATGCTATGGCTGGCATCCTCCGTGAACAGCAGCCCACTGTGTGCCCCCGAGTTAGAGGGAGGGAAGGTGACTGCAATGTCCCCATCAGATGTATGGGAGAGCTGGATCTTGAGAGATCTGCCTCCTGCCAGGGAGGGGAACATCAGCCCTTGTCCTCTGCCCATGAGGGAAGGGCTGCTCTCAGTGCTGTGAAGCTTCAGTTTGGGTTAGCCTTGGATACGTGCAGAGGTGAAGTCATCCTAGTATGTTGGCAACAAGGATGGAGGGGGACAAGTGTGAAACTTCCCCTGAGTTCTCTGTGACAGTGTATTTTAATGGAAACAAGATAACAAACGGGGGAGAGATCTCTGTTTTTTTATGTTGTTCTTGACCTGGTGAAAACGAGTAGCTGCTCAGGATGCATTCTTCTTAATTTTGTAAGCCCTTTCTCCTTTTTCCTGTTTTTCTCCTCTTCGAGTGGGTGTTTCACCTATTCCTTCTTCTGCACACACCCAATGAAGCACTGGGATGGTTAGTGCTTATTGGATAATGTAGTTCTTTAAGAGTTTTGCAAATGCTCTTGCGTATAATGTTATGCCTTGAGGGCTTCATTTTGCTGGGCCAGTCAGGCTTCCTCATGTGCTCAGCACTTTAGATTGCATTGAACTGGGTGACAGGGAGGCTGTCACAGCCCACCTGGCTTGCCTCCACAATGTTTCTTGCTGGTTTATGTTTTGTTTGCTTGTATCCTGTCTCCTAGATTTAGTGCAGGAGCATGGCACAGCCCAGGATAAAACATTCTGTGCACTTTCCAGAAAAAGCTGTTCATGTGGACCATGAGAACAGTCACAGCCTAATGCAGGTCTTTCGTTGAACAAGCCTTGAAATGTGACCTCAGACAAGGTGGGGGTCAGGTCTCGTGAACTCATGGCTAATGCTGTGGATTCTGTTGGAAATTCCTACAAAAAGTGCACAGATTTTTTTTTAGACCTCCTGTGGCAGGCTTTATCAAGTTGTCTCCTTGCAAAAGAGTCTCTGGCAGAAATACCACAGAGCCACAAATCAGTGACCAAAGAAGCTGCATGAGGATGAGCGCTTGCCACAGCTTGTGGAGTCAGTGCACTGGTTATCAGTCCCCTGGCATTTGGGGTGAGGGAACTGAGAGAAACTCTACAAGAGTTGTACTGAGCCAGATTTTGGAGCTCTGTAACAGATTTGGGCATGTATGGGACTCAGCTCAGGGCTGTTATGATGGTGCAATGCAAAGGAGATCAGTATCAGACCATAGGTGGGCTGTAAAGCTAGAAAATAAGTGGAGCAGGGATGTTGCGATTGTCTGTATTTCTAGAAATGTATTAATCTCTTGAAGTCATTAACAGAGGGGACAGTTTAATTGCATTTTAACGCTAGGATCAGAAGTGTGTGGTAGACTGTGTGGAGCATTGCACACACAGAGCCAGATTACCAAAATCATCTTGCTTTCTAGATTGCAGGGGAGGAAATCACTTTCATGATGCTGCAACTTTCCATTCTGTTTATTCTGTACTCTCCACAGTTTTGTTTTTCCCATGTTCAACAAGTTTTCATTCAATTTTCTGTATTCTTATTTTGTTTTGTTTTTCTCACGTTAGAAGCTGGGGTAGAGTCTGGGTGTAACTTTTTCTCAGTTTAGTAGTGACTCAGGAGGTACATGTTTTCAAGCCCTTAAATATGACTCCATTCTATGTAGATTTGTTTTAGCTATTGCTTTGCATTTAGAGGTTTCTGTGGCTTTTCTGTTTGGTTCGGGGAGAGGTTTGTGTCTCAGGAGAGTTGATTTTGAACTGAAATGGCAAAAAAAATTGTTGACTTTTTGGTGACATGCATTGTTTTTGCTTGCGGGAGCATTCATTTGACTTCCTGCTAGTCATCCTTTTCCAAAGCATTTCGAAGGCTATCCATTGTTGTCAAATCATTGCTGATACTGTTTGTGTGCAATGGAATATATCCCAGAGAAGTGATCCTTATACTTTCTGCCAAATAAACGTGCCAGTCTTACAGATCAGTTATTAACTTCTTGTTTGTGCAGATCCTTTTGAAAAAGACTAAGAACTAAATAATGCACTTATTTATTTATTTATTTTCACCACATTCATCATTCAACTTGGCATTTGAATCCATGACTTTAGTTAGATGACAAACACCAGCTTTCATTCTGTTGCTGACCTTGGGTAGTTGCAGTTGCCAGAAGCAACTGAAGTGAAAGAACTATTAAGCAACTACATTGTTACGTTATTTGACCAATGCAGATAGATTTCGGGATTTTGCTTTTTTTTTTTTTCTTTTTTCCAGATAGAAGTGTTTTCAGATGTCTTATGTGCATTTCTTTTTATTTATCACACACAGCCTTAATGCAGAGGAATCAAACTGTCAGCAACAGGTCTTCTCCTTAGAGCTCTCCATATCCTGTGGACTTCTGATGCAAATGGGAATGCTTGGCTCTTCCTAGAGTTAGATGCATTGTGCAAGACTCCTGGAAAATTGACAAGCACATAATTTACAGCCAGGTGTAAAGTCAAATGACTTCCTCTAAGTCATCAGAGAGAGTCATGATAGGAACACAGCATGTGTCTAATTCACTTCAGAGGCAACGGCAACATGAAGTGGCCTCCGAGCCAGTAGCTCAGCCCCGCTAACAGCACGTTCAGGTTCTTCACCCCCATGTTTTTTCAGCCAGCCCAGGGATCTATGCTATGCTGTTACCAACACCCAAGTTAGGCAGTGTGAAATTAGCTCACGCCCATGAACTCATGCGCAAAAGATGCAGCTGCAGCATACGCATCCTGTCTGGAACAGAGACAGGAATAGGATCTGTTTCCTCAAGGTTTCCTATGCGCCTCCGCAGCGAATTGTCCCAGCATCTTGTACTGCAAAAATCTGGCACATCCCTAGAGTAAGTCCATCCTGTGTCCTAAACAAAGGAGGGGCCTCGCAAAAATACAGCAAAGCTAAAACAATGTAATACTGGGCGTGCATAAGGAAAGACTGCCATGAAGCATAAATGCAAGGGGATTGAAGCAGAATCGCTTAACCAATCTGCTGTTTCCTAACTTGTGACTCCTTTGTTGCATAATCCTAATGATTTTTTGAGTTGTTTCTGTGCCTATAATACTGAGGTGAATTGAAGGATAAGGGCAGAAGAGATGAGAGGTGGTAGGAGAAAGATAATAGCAGCATTAGTAAACTAATTTTGGGAGGTAGATATTTTAGCTATGTACTATGAAGCAGCTTGGTTTTGTAAAGGCCGGGATGTGAAGGGTGAAGACCTGAGGAACTTCTTGGGAGAAAGGGGCAAAAGTATGAAGGTATTTTCAGCTCAAGGCAAGACAAATTACAAAGGGCTGAACTTTGGTTCCCAGCCCAGAACACACTGAAAACCACCACGGTTGGCTACGGACTGGGATAGTCCCTTAAGAACAGACAAACTTTCCCAGCTTTTAAGCTGTGATATTATTACATGTACATATAGGCTGTATAAAATTGCTGCTGGTGGAGTCGTTCCCTGTACTTTTTGAGGCTGACCACAGCAGTGACAGTGGTAGCCACCTAAAAATACACATCCAGAAGCCGTGCTTCCAGTAAAGGAATCATTGTTCTGATCCAGTGCTAACACGTACTGCAAGCGCCCTTAAACACAATACAGAAAAACTTCAGATTAGGAACGTGGAGAATTGTAATGTTGGAAGCAGGAAAGGACAATTAAAATATTTATATGATACAGCCACTGGACAAAATGCAGCACTGATGCATGCAGGGTCCGATTTTAAACCAAGTGGTGGTTTTTTTTTGTTTTGTTTTGTTTTGCATCTCCTTTGTCACTGGTGGAGCTATTAATTTCTTTCTCCAATAGCAACGCTCTGCCCCGTGCAGTTGGATGCTGTGGCAAGGGGATGTTTTCCAGGAACCCCATGGCTCTTCCCAGGGCTGGTGACACAGGGTGTGGCCTCCCCGTGCCTCCGGCAGCAGCTCTTCTCCAGGACAGATCCTGCCCTGTTGGCTGCCTCTCAGCTGGGCTTGTTGGGGGGAATCGTTGGAGGCAGGTGCTTGCACTGGGACAGTCCCGCACCCGTGGCTTTCACCTTGCTGGGCTTCTTGTTTTTTAATGTAGTTCAATTTTTTAACCAGTTGCCTTGCCTCCTCTCTTTCCCCAAGCTGCCAATGTGTTTTTCTCAGCTGTTAACTGCCAGAGGGTGACGAGTTGCTGGCTGGGGGCAGGAAGGAGGAGCAGGCGCTGCGCTTCCAGCTGGAAGTGGTGAGGGAGGACACGGCGGGGAGATGGAGCAGCGCGGTATTTTCCTTCACTCAAGTCCCTGCTCCCCCGGGAAAGCTTTAATATGAACTGAGGAGGAGTTTCAGTTGACTCGAGCCAAAAAACATCTGCCAAAGTATGCAGCATGCTTCCTTTCACATTTTCTCTTGCAGATGGGGCTCCGCTGAACCCAGCTCTCCTCTTCATCCTCACATAAACAAAACCATACGGAAATAAGGCTTGAATAGCCCTGATAAGAAGCTACAGAAGCTCTTCTACATCTCTGCAGTTTTATCAGTGAGAAGATTCAAAGCTAGAAACTCCGCCCTGTCGACAATTGGTAAGTGAATGCATCTGCTGCATAGAGCGTAGCTGGCATATCTGCTGCCCGGGCTGAGAGGACCTCATGGCTGCTGCCCGAACGCAGGGGACTTGGCACGCAGGCCGTGCTCGTTCCCAGTTTCTCCCACCAGAAAGACGTGGGGCATCGCCTCGCTCCTCTCCTGCGTTATTTTGCTCGAGGAAAACTTCCAGCGAAGCTCGTGCGCGGTGGACGCGCGCTCACGGTTTTAAAGCCTCCTTCAGGTACGTGCCGATGGCAGCAGCGAGCAGTGAGTGCGAGAGCCCACACATGCACAGGCGGAGCCGGCTGTCCCGAGCCCTCAAGCCATCACACGGAGCCTGCCTCCAACAAGCCTCCTTGAAAGCAGAGCCGGCCCCGCGGGTGCGCGCCTCCGCCTCGGGGGCGCGCCCCGGGGCTTGCTGCGCGCTCCCCCCCCTGCGGCGGCGGCGGGGCGGGGGGAGCCGCCGGCCCGGGGCAGCCCCGCTGCGGAGGGGGGGGGAGCGGGCGGAGCGCGGCCCGGCCCGGCCCCGGGGCCCCCCTCGCGGGTGGCCGAGCGCACGGCTAACGGGCAGCGGCGGGGGGAGCCGAGGGAGGCTGCCCCCGGCTGGAGAGCGAGGAGGGAGAGGAGCTGGAGCTGCTGCTGCTGCTGCTGAGCCGCTCCGGGCCGGTAATCCTGCGGGGCTGCGGAGACGTGCGCGCCTCCCGCGGGGGTACCGGGAGGAGGAAAGCGGCTCTGGGAAGGGCTGCGGGCCTAGAGGGAGAAACGAGGGAATTGCTAGGTAGGTGCTGCCCGCTGCTAGGCAAAGCCGGTAGGTACCGGCGGTCTGTGCGGGGGGGAGGGAGGGAGGGCAAAGCCTGCAAGTTTTGTGCTGTCTGCTTGCTAAAGCCTCGGGATTATTATTCCGCAGCGGAGTTGGTGTTTCTGTCCTCGTTGCAAACTGGGAGATCTGTTCTGCCGTCCTTTCTCGAGTTAGGATCCCCGCTGACGGGAATGGGAACTTTTCTCCTGGAACCAAAGCTCAGCAAAGGCAGTGAGAACCGGTCTGTGTTATGTAGATGTAGAGCTGGCGTTTCCCAGTTGAAACTCTGTTTCTTCGTTTGTTTTGTCCCTCTCTTCTTTACCGGCTTCATGCCAAGCTATTTGTAGATACAACATGGCTACAAAAGTATTTAGAAAGGGCAGCTTTGTAATGGGATGAGATTACTTGTTGCAACCTGACAATTCTCTTAGAGCTAAACTGTATGCAAATTGTGCAGAAAAGCATATAATTTCGAGTGCAGAGAATGCTGGTGTGCTAGAGTTGTCACTCCTAAATTTTAAAAGCTAAGTTCAGGGAGGGCTTGAAGAAAGAGGAAACGTGTATGAGTGGGACTTCTTATGGACCCATTTCAGACCAAGGAAATATTACCAGCTGAATAGGTTCTAGAAGTGATATTTTTGAAGGAAAAATATCTTTCTACCTGTACATAAGATCGCACCAGTGATACGCTTGTTTTTCTTCCCACCTATGTGAAATACATCTGTGGACCTTTCTTTCTGGCTTGATACAGTACCTGAGTCTTCAGCATGTCTGTTTGTCTGTCTGCTGAGCTGAAGCAGAGACAGGTTAAGCCACTCTTCAAGCTTACGGCTCTTTATTAAAGCGACGGTATTAAGGGTGGATAGGTCCCATGGTCTCCCTGAGGGTCTTCCTGGCCATATGAGACTTCTTCTGCCGATGGGATGTACGAATCATCCCCTGAGACTCTTAGTGCCCAAATACTCCTCTGTTGAAGGCAGGAGGAAAGCTGCTTTAGGTAAGCAGTTACCTGGTGGGGAATTGCCTGTGGGAGCAGATGTGGAGTGTGTAGGCAGGACAGCGAGGCCTGAAAGCTGTCAGAGAGATCTCAGCTGCGCGAGTACTAGGTTGTTAAAGGTGTAGGGGAATAGGTGACTTATGGTGTTTGGCTCAACAAGGTGGTTGGCGAGACATGAGTTTGATGTGTATCTTGTTAGATAAAGGCTTCAGAAGTTACGTATGGGTGTTGCCTCACAGAGAAGGGAACACAGTGAATGATCTCATTCACATCAGCAAGTCCTTGAGGTGCTCCTTGTCCGTTTTCTTTTCAGAGGTCTGAAAAGTTACAGGCAGAGATGGTTTTAAAATATTTTGTTTGATCACTTTCTTCTTTGGCTGGTTTTGGATGGAAGATGGCAGGGAGTGGGAATATTTTGTATTTTTTATTTTTTTTGGATAGTTTCTTAGTGCTATTAATATTCTTATCCTGGGCTCATTTTTCTGGATATACCGTGGTTAGTGTGTCTCAGTAAAGGTTTGATCTGTCCTCCCCAGACAGGTTTATAAGAACTCTCTCAAGCCTGCCTTGGCTGAGATGTGGCTGTCTGCTTCTTGCACGTAGCTTTGTGTGCTGCCGGGTGTTCAGGTTCAGGTATTTTGGCCTGGAAGAGGACACAGCCAGGTGGGTTGCTTGAAGATGTAACTTGAAGACTGCCCTGAGTGTCCATGAGGCAGACCCCACCATTGTCTCAAAGGCATCTGTACGGAAAGACTCTTTATTTTCCCCAATACAGCTTGTAGCACAGAATGTTGTTTTGTTCATCTTTGTGTCTTAAGATTCAGGTTATTTTACGTATAAAAGTTTGTTCATACTGTGTGTGAGTGTATGGTGAGATACTCTACTGCAGGCTCTGTAGTTAAGGGCATTTTAGGAACAGGCTCAAGCTTGCTTGAAATACTGCTTCAGATATATCTTCTTACAGATGCTTACAAAGTCTTAACTAAACAAGTTGAAATATACACCATGTTTTCTAGGAGAAGTTTAATTTTTCAAGCTTGGAAAACTCATTTGACGTTCATTTGAGTTACGTTCATTTTTGCTAGACTTACTGAGAAACTAGTAAAGAATACTGGGAAATCATTTTATGGGGAAACAGCGTAGAGGGGTTTTTGGTCTTTTTCAGAGTTTCTATTTTCTGCTCTTTACTTAAAAGGGCAAGAGCTTGGTAGCAGAACAAAAGAAAAAAACACACAACCTTCAACTTCCCCATTAATCCACTTTTTTCTGCTTCCAATTTTGTAATCTTACATATGACTAATTCTCTACCTATTTGTAGTCTCCAGGGGAAATTACGATAGAACTTTTTCTTTCTTTTTTTTCTTTTTTTTTTTTTTTTCCTCCTTTGGTGTGTGAACTTCTTTAAATGCTAACTCTTCATCTCTTATCCTACAGATGATCATAAAACCTTTAGCTTTTCGTGATAGATGTTCCGGTTGTAAGGAAAATGTGATGTGCCAGCTGTTGTTGCCACTGAAAATCATCTTTTAGTATCGAAATTCATCTGCTTTCACTTTGCAGTTCAGTCTTTTAATTGTTGCTATCAGAAGCTGAGAAGTTCTAACTAAGAAGCGGAAAAGTGACAGGCAGCACTACACTAGCTAGTGTGTGCTGTTAAAAATAGGAACACAGGTCTTGCTTGAAGTATCAGCATCTTTTGAAAACTTCATTGAATAAATATAGGTGCAGAGTGGTCAAAACACCTCGCAGTAATGCAGATGTATGTGTTGTCTTAAAATATCACATCCTCTTTAAAGTTTATTTTGGTAGGGTGAGGTAGCTCTTCAGTGTTCAGAAGAAAGTCAATATTCATGCTTAAGGGCAAAATTGAAACCTTGCTGTCTCAACAGGAAGACCCTTCTGATTTGCTCTGTTGCAATGCTGTATTTTTAAGTGTCCTCTGGATAATGCCCAAAGTCTGCATGTAACTGTTTGTGTTACTTCCACTCCCAGCCCCAGCAGCAGCAGTAAAACTGGAGCGCATTGTGCTGGAGCTATTCTTTACATTCCTGCATCCGTGGGGAGCCAGGAGGAGCAAGGCAAAAACGTGAATAGCCCCCACTTGCCCTGGCTGGGAAGGGAAGGCTGAAAAACTTGAGAAGCCACAAAGCTCATCCTCCCTCCTGTTGGAAAAGCAGGAATGGAGTAATGCAGGGACTGGTTTTTAAGACCAAAAAGGAGTGAAGTTCTGACTTAATCAGCGAAGCTCTTCTTAACATCTGTTGATTCACAGTGCAAATTTCCATTTCCTTAGCAGAAATATTGCTTTCTTTTGGGCCACAAGCCAGCAGAAAGCTGTATTTGTGAAGTGGGTGGCTAACAGTCTTAGATTTCCACAGGCTCTTCAACTCACTTTTAAAACAACAGTTTCTCTGCCTTGAGAGTACAAGATGGAAATGCTAAAATAAAGATCAGAGCTGAGAAAAGCTCTTTGTTATACTGAAGCTTCCCAAGCACAACGGTGCTTCTTTTTTTCACTACTGCTTTCAGGATCCTGTGGCCAGAAATGAAATGAGAATGGCATGAGGGGCATGTCGCTGCCTTAACCAGAGTGCTAGGAGAGGTAGGCAGTGGAAATACGCATACCTAATGGCCATTTAACAGTGAATACAAGGTGTGTGCATGGAATATCGTGTGGGGTTGGGGAGGAGGAGTCCCTTTTCCAGGGTTAGAAAGGAATTGACGTGTTTCTACCATCGTCTTCTTTTTCTCTTTTCCAACATAAGTGTTAACTTAAATAGCTCCCTCACATTTTGCTGTTCTGTGTTGCACTGGCAGTTGGTGACTGGTGTGGGGGAAATGATCTATTTAAGGAAAGGGAAGCACCCTATTACAAAGCAAGGGGCACTGCAGAGAAAGAACTTGTGTTTTTTTTCCCTGCAATGAGAAGAGGGAAAGGTGCTTGGCCACTTAAGAACTGCTGTTGCTGAATGAAACCACAAATTTATTCATCTTTTTCCAGTCAAAATAGGTATTTCCTGTTTCTCTGAAGTTCTTGAACCTGCTTGTCTACGTCCTCCACCAATGTCATGTCTGAGCACCCTGGAAACGCTATCACCTTGATCTTCACAGTGCTTTGGGTAGTCTGAAATCAATGTGTAGAGCTGAGACCAGGAGCAGGGTTAGTAGCGTAGATGGGAGATACCCTGTAGGGTTTGTTT